TGCAGCTTGCTGAGGCCAAGATGGCACAACAAAATCTACAGTTTAATGAAATGAAAGAAAAATCATTGATAGAAAAACAAGAGGTAATGAGAACATTTTCTTTTTGTTGATCAATTTACATTCACAGTAAAAACAGCTTAACTTGAGAGGTTCTTTAAACGTAAATTGATCGCATAAAGTGATGTGTGTCTTAGATTGTTCTAAATGCAGGGCTCGAAATAACGGCCAGACATATGCAGGACAAGATGTCCTTCCAAATTCATTTTTGGAAGTTCATGTTGTATTTTAGTCTTTGAATTTTGAAAGGAGAAAAAACTTGGACCGGCTGTTATTTTGAGCCCTGAACTGTCATGCCATCATATATATTTAAAAAATATAGTCAAAAGCTGTTTATAAAAATATTCTTATTATAGCTTTTAAAAGACTCCCTGGACTACAGAAAAAGATATGAAATTATGGTCAAACAAGAAGCAGAGTTGAAATCGCAGGTAATTGCAAACTCAATGGGCCTGTTCTGAGATAGCAGTTTGCATTGCATTGAAGTCTGTATTCGGTACAAACCTCTTTTGTTCATGCTGCCAAATATGGCGTTGTTTTTACTGAAGCTAGACAACAATGCACTATGATTTTGTATTTTCAGAAAAAATCTATTTAAGGGCATTTTGCAGATTTGAGCTATATTCACATATAGTCACCATGGAAACATACCCTTACTACACACATTGTCTCATGGCTCCCCAAATCTTTTAATTTAATCTGTAAAATTTGAACTGAATACTGTGATATTCATAATTCATATTTTTAATTTTTTAGCTGGCCATGTACACTGAGCGGTTTGATGATTTCCAAGCAACTTTGAATAAAAGCAATGAAGTTTTTGCAACATTCAAGTCAGAAATGGACAAGGTAAATAAAATACTTTTTATTTGATTTGACATAAAGTCAATTGCCACTTTGTGAGGAAGTGGACGGAAGAAAAATGGGAAAGCAGTTTGTTCTTCCTTTTCACCTTGTTTAGTTTAGTGGCCCTTTTTACAGGGGTTGGGAAAGGTCTTGATAGGGACATACTGTATTTGCACTAAATATCAGTAATAAAGTCTAATGTCTTTCCTTGTTGTTTATAGATGTCAAAAACTATAAAGAAACTGGAAAAAGAAAACAAAACTCTTAAATCCAGAGGCGAAAACACTAATAGATCACTGTTAGCCATGCTGGATGAGGTATTTGTATTGTGAATGTGTTTGTTTGTTTTTATTTTTTTATTNCTGCTGCTGATATAATTGCTGATTCTGCCATTTTGATTCCGTTCTTGTTGCTACAGTTGTTGCTGCTGATGTTGCTGCTAGTGTTGTTGCTGATGTTGTTGATGCTGATGCTGTTGTTGTTGTTGCTGCTGTTGTTGCTGTTGTCGTTGTTGCTGCTGCTGATTTTGCTTTCTTTTATTCTTCTAACTTAAAACATTTCTTGATTTCTTGCAGAGGACAAATATGGAAAAACAAATCAAGACTTTGTCGACAAAAAATTCAAAATTAGAAAAACTTTGTCGAGCAATGCAAAAAGGTCTAGTACTTCCGAATAAGGTAAAAAGACCCGCACTCTGTCACTGTAAAACCTTCAGTATAACTGTCAATCAAATCGCTTCTTCTTTCATTTTGAATTGACGTGTTTCTTTTTGTGTTGATTGGCAGGAAAATGACACCCCAGGACTGGAATCAGAGTCTTTAGAGTCAAACTCTTTAGAACATGGCAATTCTAATGAAGACATTGCCAATAAAAATRRTGCTAGYTGCATAGAAGAAGCTRCATCTAWTGACGAGCCGAATAATGACCAAGAAGGCAGCAGTGGTGGAGAACACAACTGTGGRGAGGATGGAGAACCCAGTAAGGAGGAAAGCGAGGGCGTTGAAGACACAACACAAAAAGATGGGGAATCTAATACCGACTGCGAGACGAATCAATCAAATGATACAACTAGCGATGAATTAAATAGAGAATTAAGCTCTGAATCAAAGAGTGAGTCCACCATGTCTAGTGAGTCACCACCTGATGCAATTCATTCAGAGTCAACATGACTATTTTTTTAGGAATTCGAATTGTAATAATTATATAGTATAGTACTTAGTAATTTAATGTAATTAGAACAAAAACTTCGATGGCAATTAATGCTAGTTCGTGGTTTGTTCAGATCTGTGCTTGTATTTTGTTTTGTTTTTATTTTTTTCGGAACTACCTAAACTTTGTAATTCCACTGTTTATTGTATTTTAAGCGTGTAAAGAAAAAAAATAATTGTAAGCGGTATTTAAAAACAATAAGCCAAGGTGGACGTGTATTTTCCCTTTATTTTATTTAGTTGCTTGTAAACTTTTTTGTACATTTTCAAGTTTATCATAATCTTTTTTTTAATAAAGGCGACAAATGTTATTTAATCTTTGAATTATATGTTTGTTGGTGGCGTATATTGGTATGATTTCCCTGGACTCAGATTTAAAAAACTATGCCAAGGTGCACGTGTATTTGCCCTTTATTTTAGTTTGCTTGTAAACTTTTTTGTACATTTTCAAGTTTATCATAATCTTTTTTTTAATAAAGGYGACAAATATTATTTAATCTTTGAATGTTATGTTTATTGGTGGCGTATGTTGGTATAATTTCCCTGGACTTACAGTTTAGTATACTTGATTCGTATCCTTCCTTTTGTCGGGCTTCCTGTGGTAAAGTTGAGAAGCACGATCTAACAGGTCTAACAGTCTCAAAATTATTCGTAATCACAAAAATGGAGTATTTTGTGYTATACGAATGCAAGATCTTTTATCAGGTTTTGTGACGCCCTCGACTTCTGCCATAAACAAGAAAATGTCCAAATCTCTGTATAGCCGCGTTTAGATTCGGTCACGCGTCACGCAGTGAATGGCCACCTGTTGATCAGAAGACGATGGCTGGATAAACTCCCAAATTGAATCCGAAATTCTTGCTTAACAACTAGTTTGCAMCGAATGAAGCKTTCCTCCTAAAACCCATGATCAAAGTTCGTTCGACTGTCGTTCGTATGGTACGTATTTTGTTAGGTACAGTGTCAGGAGGTGAAAAAGATAACCTGTAGCGTTGACACTCATGGCATGCCAGATACCAGCAGCACCCGGCAACCTTGTATTTTTGTATTTGCTCCTGAAACGAATTACACTACAAGTTTCTTCATGTATAAATTATTAGTACAAACCATCCCTTCCCCTGTTAGGAAAATTCGGGTGGAGTTTTTCACGCTGAGCTGAGCTGTCTCAAATTTCCTATCACTTAAGTGAAGCCATAAATACATGATAAAATATCTTCATGACGAGTGGTTTTTAGAGGGGGACTGGTGACTAGAGAATTTGACTACTATGGAATAGCGCAAAACTAGTACAGAGCTCTCGATCTTAAAATACTATGTATTTCTTCCTCAGCTTCAGTACAAACTTCGTTTATAGCTTTTACATTGCACATTTTTGCCATGTAAATAAAAATATAAAGTTGGAAGTACTCGTGCAATTAGAATTATCGATGTTTGTTTGAATGTGAACAGCGGTTTTATCGTATAATTTACCACATGCATTTGGCTGCCTGAACTACTCGTGGGTAGCTTCGAAGAAAATGACGTAGCATACAGAAGTATTCGTAGGAATGAATAGTTTAACTTGCTTCCATCTAATTGCTATCTATAGGTCAAATTGCTTGGCAAGTCAAAGTATTTTTCGCAGGTCAAAATTTGCCATGACCTGGCCCAAAAAAAAAAACCTATGGGGCAGGCTAAATATTTTTTCTATTTCGAGCCCTGCTGTCTTCTGAGTAAAATTTTTATTTGCTTTACCAAATTGAAGCTGTTTGTGCAGTTTCAAAGTCACCTGACAGCGGCCTTTTTTGACGGACTAAAACTCAAGAACATGAATTTAGTTCTACTTTATAGTGTTTACTAAGGGATACTAAATGCATACAACTGACAGTGTATCTGTTTTACTTAAGTCCTATAGTAAATATCCATGGCTTAAAGAAATCCTCCCGTCTGTGAAGAGCCACAGTACATAATATCTTAACTCATCTTTTTTGACAATGAGAAGTGACAATGTGAGAGTCTTACTGACTCCATCGAGTTCAGAAGACCATTCATCTTCGTGATCCCTCTTGCAGGGACTAGGCATGCATTAAACGGCGTTTTTCCCCAAGGTTTTTTTTTTCTTATGAGACATATTGCACACCAAACAACTCGATCAGTTGAATCTGTGCAGTAATATACGACTAAATCAAAGCCATAGTATTCGGAAATTTGACAGTAATGTATACATCAGTCGACTGAACCCCACTTGCCCCTATTCCGCCCCAAGACCAAAGGGGTCTTGTAACTATTTTAGTACAATCAATCTACTTGGTCGAGGTGAGGTACGTAAATCATATTTTCAATTTTTTTGTGTGTATTTTGTCCCTAACTGACCCGGGAACTGAGCCTAGTCTCCTTTTGACGTACGGGCTTCCTGTCTAGGAAAGTTTACGGCTGTGAGAGAGACTGTAGAAAAAGCCGGGACTTTTAAATTTTTGAAATGATAATTTCCCCGGTATTACCAGAGGTTTTCAATGATTGATGCATATTGTCAAATCTAACGGTTTCATATCGTGGACGGTTTTACAGATATGTACAGATATTCGTGAACGATTACGTCAAAGTAACGAATACTCCCTAAAACGTCCCTCTGACTCCTAGGCAGCTCGATACCAGGCCTTAGTTAGAGTAAAAGAGGCGGTCTCCAATCAACGAATGTGTGATTGAYAGACCGTTCCAGCCAATAGCGTTCGATATACAGTAACGATAACGTTTGTTCATTAGGGTTATCTAGGGGCTATCCGCAGGTGGCTCAAGTTAGACGAGCCTTGAATATCAATATCAGCACTCTGTCTTGGTGAAGTTTGACTACAACTTTGAAGATGATCATCGTTGCTACTGCTTTCATTGTTCTCAAGGTGTTCTTCTCATATAATTCAGGTGAGCCATCAGTCTTAGCTTTATTATGATTCTAATACTATTCAAAAGCCCTGTTCAACGTGTAGAGAGCGGTTTTACATGTCTGAAGTGCGGTTTGCAAAACAAAAACCTTTAGAGCGGCACCCATGTTGGCGATATTTTAAGGCTTGAAAAGCACTCTAAAATATTTATATTTGCTGTCTTAGCTATATGATCAGTAAAGCAAATTCATTCGATTGAGAAGGTTGTGGAGTCTGTGGAATGTTGTAGCTTGCGTGGCATAACGAAAATGTACCGCACGCTAGCGTACTCTAACGTAATTCTGCTTTAAACGTTCGGCTTGACGTTCTGAACACATTAAATATCGGTATAATTTCCAAAATGAACCAATCAATCCATTCAGAATTTCATTATAGTGACGCTTCGCCGTGACATGTTGTGCGCAATCCAAATGTTTTGAAAAGATTCCTAAACAGCTACCTACTAGTTACCCTCTATAATCTTTGACCTTGTGGAGTTTCGGGCTTTACCACATGTCAAACTTGTATCCTTTATGTCATAAATCCATTTCGTTATTATAGTAAATATAAAGCAAAAACCCTGTCCACTTAATTCCTTTTTGACAGAAGATGGCGTAAATCGATTTGGCAAAGCCTTAACGGATTCACTATTAGTTTAATATTAAAAGGAGTTATATGTAATTTCTCACTAAGTGCTTGTAATATCGAAACCGATGGCTGAATCGTAAGTAAAGATCACTTTTATGTATTAAATTAGGCAGGGATCGCATTTCTGATTCCATCTTCATGTGACAGAATACAAAACAGTTATTCAACGGAAGCAAAAGCTCGAAAGAGCGAACAAGATAAACAATATCCCAAAATACGAACCAAAATAAAAAATAAATAAAAAATAACAAAAAGTACCATAAGTTCCGCGGGTACACTCAGAAAATTCTTTACGACAGATGGAAATCTCACAAATGCATAAAAAACTGTATTTTCGATGTATGTAAATTTGTATTCCAGCTCTTGAAGTGAAGGAATTAATAAATTAGGTAACCACAGCGCGATGTAGACATAATAGATCTTTAATGTGTTGTTTAGTCAAAAGGAATAGACAGTATTGTCTTTTCGCTGTAAAGATCATTGGCGGTATGTGCAACTAATTGCAAAAATGTCATAGGGAATAGGAACATTTGAAATTTAGTTAAAAGAAATATTTTATTATATTTCTTGAAAAAATAATGCATATTATTTTTTATGCCAATTTTTTTCCCCTTTTATTATAGTACAAATGTTCTATTTCTCATGACAACAATCGTTGACAAAATCYTTGGACCATTCCAGCGAATTTCCTCATTTGAAGCAACATCCGCAGACAATTCCATCCCCCCTGACCCCGTAAATGCAATGTTGTCATTCATCATGTTACCATAAAGCATCCAAAACAAGACCCAACATTGATGAAAGGGGGCTAAGGGGGAAAACTGTGAAAAAATAAGCGAGAAAAATGTTAGGCTGAAGGTAAATAATTGTACGGTCCAAGGTATTTTGGCAACGATTGAAGGTTTTAGCAATTAGGTTCATGATATTTTTTTAGATATCTGCTGGTTGTTTTCTAACGATGTGGATATTTAGAATAAAAATATTTAGCGCCGTCCTTATCACTATCAAAACTACGTCAAAATTCCTAGATTGATCACAAGATACCGTCGTCGGGAACCCAGAGGTCTATCGACCAAACAAAAACAAGTTCAGATCGAGCAAGGGAATGTAAACGAACTAACTATGGGCATTTTTAGAAGACTAAACTAAACAACRTGCCATACAAGTGATTGACAAAATCATCTTTTCCCAAATAAGGTCGAACAGATTTTTGTACTAGTGGATATTATAATTTCTGAGGGCAGGGAATGGGCGACAGAAGACTACCTCTGGGTTCCCATGGGTACGGAAGATGCATACTTAACCCCCTCAATATACATCACTTTTCAGTGGTCGTGATTTCGCATTCGCACACGATACTCACCGYAATTCTTAGAATATCTGTCAGACGTGTGCGAATATATGGCTGAAGAATTAAATATTCGATCTGCTGGGATTTCTCAATACTGCGACAGATATTCATTGCATCAGCTCTCTGATCCTCGTTTTGTCGCGGAAGTTCTGTGATTGTCTAAAAGGGGATTTACTTAACATCGCTTGTCTTTCAATGATTAGGTGTGGTCAGTGTTGAACTTTCCAAAAGTCAAGSAAATAACCAGTGGTACCGAGATGGAGTCGATCTCATCCGAACAAATCTCAAAGTCAAAGAAAACCGTGCGACCGCAAAGAATGCTATCATGTTTCTTGGAGACGGYATGGGAATCAGTACCGTGACMGCTGCGCGTATTTTAGAAGGACAAATGCGTGGCAAAACAGGAGAAGAAAATTTCCTAAGCTTTGAGAAATGGCCCTGGACGGCTCTTTCTAAGACATACAACACGGATTTACAAACTGCKGACTCAGCTGGAACTGCGGTCGCTTACTTGAGTGGTGTTAAAACAAGAGGAGGTACGCACTGATTGGAATTCGCGAAATAGACTTTGTTACTTGTATGGCCGCCATCTTGGAATTACGAAGAAATGATTTCTTACTGGAAACAATAGCCGATTTTTGCGAATTTTGTCTCAGTAGTCACACACAAAGGAATCAAGACGAGGCGCCCTGCATAAAGCTCAGTCATTCGTAAAAAGACAATAGTTTTTCACAATTGACTGAGGTTTACGCACAGCGCCTCGTCTTGATTCTTTTGTGTTKGACTACAGAGGCGAAATTCGCAGCTATTAACTTTCAATATGGCGGTTAAGTGTTGACTATAAGGCCTGTTAGTCTATTTAAGCTTGAGACTATCATAGAATATTAGTCTTCCAATGGCGCCATTCGATGCATCAAGGTGTCATTCAGATTTCTTGTCATCCCATAATATTCTTTCATAATTCAAGATGGCTGACGCATTGGTGTCTATAATACTTTATTATTCGCAGGGGTGATTGGTGTAGACGAAACTGTACGTCGTGGGTACTGCTTGGATATTACGGAAGCCAGTAAAGTTAAATCAATACTGACATTTGCTGAAGAAGCCGGGATGTCAACAGGATTCGTTACAACAGCTCGCGCTACTCATGCTTCTCCTGCGGTCTTGTATGCGTATACTGCYGACAGGGGTTGGGAATACAGCACCAGTAGCGCTAAAGATAACGGGACTAGCTGTAAAGATATAGGTTTGTACGGTCTTGTTAATTCTGATGAATTAAATGTATTAGTTTGTTGTATATTGATCACAACGTCATCGTGTTTGCATGTACATTTTGGGTTCTCAGTTTGTATAATTGCTCTTTTCGTTTGAATGTTCATTCATCTGCTGTGCTCCGCGTTCAGTCGTTCGTTGCTATATAAAGGAAGCGCCTAGCCGGCAGCACGCCTATGTCGGTAAGTGTCTGTAATATAGCACTTCGACTTGAGAGCGCGTCGAGCTGCGTCTTCCGCAATTCAGCACCCATGCTGCCATGAAGGACGATTAGCACCCAACACCTTTTCCTTTTTCCTTTGATCTGTCCTTCTTGTTCTTCTTGTTCATCTTGTTGTTGTTGTTGTTGTTCTTCTTCTTCTTCTTCTTCTTCTTCGTCTTCTTCTTCTTCTTCTTCTTCTTCTTCTTCTTCTTCTTCTTCTTCTTCTTCTTCTTCTTCTTCTTTTTCTTCTTCTTCTTCTCTTCCTCCTCTTTCTCTTTTCTCCTCCTTCTTGTTTCTGTTCTTCTTTCTCATTTTGATACCATTAATAATTCACGTGATTGTTTCCCCAGCTCTTCAACTAGTAGAATACTCTGAGGGTGATGGCATCGATGTAGTCTTTGCTGGCGGAAGAAGAGCATTTTATCCGAACACAGTACCAGACCCTGAATACCCTGACAAAAATGGCACGAGATCCGACGGTCGTAATCTTATTAACGAGTGGTTGGAGAAAAATCCCGGTGCGGTCTATCTGTGGAATAAGACTGACTTTGATTCWTTAGACGTTAATAAAGTAAAGCGAGTGATGGGTGAGTAGGGTAGAYGTTTTATGGTTGGTTTATTYGCTWCTTGTCCTCTTGAGTTCAATYAATTTTCACCATTCCCTGTTGTTTTTCTATTTCACTTGCTCATGAGATCGTGTATTTGAAAAGGGCTTTTTCAGCCTAGTCATATGCAGTATGAGGTCGAACGAGCCAGCGACGCAGCCGGAGAGCCKTCAATAGCAGAAATGACAGAAACTGCTATCAAGATACTTAGTAAAAAYCCCAAAGGTTTCTTCTTATTTGTTGAAGGTAAGCCCATAGTGACGCTATGAATATGAAGTGTGTGTATTAGGGACTGCACAATGTTTAACAGGGGGGGTAGGGTTAGGGTTAGGGGGGGGGGTTTGAGATGACACAATAAAAGTCTGCCTATCTCTATTCTTGTCTTTTTTATTAAAGGTGGTCGTATCGACCATGGTCACCATAGCAGCAAAGCTGTCAAGGCTTTGACYGACAAYGTTGCCATGGCAARAGCTGTTACCAAGGCAATTAGTATTCTGGACRARGGTAAGCTTCATTCTACCATGATGCACTTCGCYAATRAAACTAACATGACTTAAAATGACAATTTTTTTTATCTTTTCATTGATTTTATTTTATTGTTGGAATTACCTTGCTTTGCAGAAGAAACACTAATGGTGACTACCGCTGATCATAGTCACGTGTTCAGCATGGCGGGATATCCACGACGTGGAAATCCCATATTTGGTATTGTTATTGAACCCGACAATACTACTGCAATTGGCAARGATGGGTTACCKTATACAACCTTGGGCTATGCCAATGGACCCGGGGGCCTGGTCCCGGGTACTAATAGGAGTAACTTAACGGGTGTTAATACCGMTGACAAGGACTTTAAACAGCARTCTCTYGTCTTGAAGTCTAGTGAGACGCAYGGAGCTGAAGATGTTGGTACGTCAATGAATAAATTAAAGCTATTTCGAATAAGGTTGAATACTGGAAATACAGTGTASTCAAATATCGAATAGCCGACTWAMGATATTTTGKSTAACCAMACGCACACAAARAAATTGAAGATGAGGCTCCTGGGAAATAATACAAAACCCTTTTGTTTCCCCTGAGCCTCGTCCTCAATTCTTTTGTGCATGACAATTCAATCAAAATATTAAAATTGGACTATTGCATAGTATGCCATCGTTGGTTTATCGCTCTAAAAGAGGATTTTTTACTGTTTCAGAGTGAAAATTTAATTCAGAATTGTCATTTTGTAATACCACTTACGTAGAATGCAGTAGCAACAATGCATTGCGGTCTTCCATTACATAATGCAGTATCCAGTACTCAACATTATTTGAAAGAGCTGTATACAACATTTTTAAAAAGGTTGTCGAAAGTTACTACGGTATAGTTTATTGACAGCACCCTTARGARKTCGATATTTYTCTTTCTTTTTATAAGGATCATTTGTGATAGTTCAGTTTCATTTGTCTGTGTATTATTGTCGGCAAGATAACTAAAAATTACCGACCGGCAAAACATATATTTATATTATAAGTGCTTTTTCCAATCTCTTAGACAAATCTTTACTTCCCAAATRCGTGCCATTAATATATTCAAAAGTCAAGAGAGCCTTATTATCTTAAGGGTATGACAAGGAAAATATCAAATTTTCATTATAAGTTTGAGATTTTTTTMGGAAACGGCAGARGCCTTTCTAGCTAATTCTTCTAACTTATCTTTGTTTTTTAGTGATTTTGAGAATAGGATCGAGACTGTTTTAGGAACTGAAAATCATTGAAGCATTTTCTAGTTAATTCTCCTAACTTGTAAACTAGTTTACCTACTTAGGACCTGTTTACATTATATGTGGTGCTCCTAGGTACACCTAGGTAAGTAGAGCCAAACTCTTTTTGAAATCCCCCGGRGAAGTTTGGCTTTACTACCTTAGGGAACTCTTACTGTAAACATGGCCGTAATCCTTATTTCTAAGAACGGTTTGCCGTAAATATTGAGCACATAAACAAACTTTAACAGTTTAACTCTCTGTGGACATTTGGGCTCTTTTATTTGTATTTAAACACTTTTATATTTTTTTATTTTCTTTAGGTATCTACGCCACAGGCCCTGGTGCCTATTTATTCCACGGCGTTGTTGAACAAAACTATATCTTCCATGTAATGGACCACGCCCTTTGTCTTACACCAAGCAAACAAGGCACGTGTTTGAAGCATGTGCAACGGGGTGGGAAAGCGCCCACCTCAAAACCCAAACCTCCTTCATCGGCTGTTGCTATGAGCGCCTGGGGCTATTTAGCTATCTTCTTATTGCTATCTCTTAGCCTGTTGATACAATATATTAGTGATTGTTAGTTTTTCTACTTTGTCTGGAGAATTCGAAGATCCATTACTCTGTTTTCCTTGCAGCCGAGCAAATATATCATTTCCGTAGAAAATACAATTTGGACACACTAAAAAACCGACGTCCCAAAACTAGAAATATCCGTACGTACGTTTACGTAGCATAGCGGTGTCCCTCATAGGCACTCACATGAYATRTGATTCCTTGTTTTAAATAAACCAGATTTTCATCTCTTTTTTATCATTTTTATTAACGTTTGATTGGAAAAACTATATAAATTTAGTGATACTCTATAAATTACAGCAATATTTATGTACAGATTTTTTATCAATTCTTTATACATATACTTTCTCGTAGCGTTTTGCATTGTTCGTCATTAACAAAGGATGAATGAAAAATGCCACGAAAGTGCTGCGTAAATCTTTCGATGTGAACGAAGCCTTAAGTCTTGCGCAATTAACAATTCTATGTCTCACCCGACGATTAACAAATTGAACTTAATAGGCAATTTTATTTACGTTTTTCTGCTTTTACCTCCTCCCAACTCACTTATTAAATATGGTTTAACTCTCGAGAGTGTGGACTTGCCACAGGGCAATGTTACCTTAATAAAGCCATTAGTAATTATCCCCGTGGAGGGGAGGGGGRATTTTTTTTACAAATCTCTACAGTACAAGTCTGAGTTACCAGCTCGCCCTGACTTGTCTTTTTGTAAAAACTTCTTAGAATGAACTGYTCTTTYTCCGTCGTTTTGTTGTAGTTTGTCTTCTTGAGATGATTTGCGCATGGCTTTACATTRCAAGTTTTATATGCTGGACAACATAACATTGTTTTAAAGGATTGTCTGAATGATTTAGTAAAGAGTGTGTATATGATTGGGTTGGCTGTGGTGGACGAGTAGTGCATCCATTTACTTGTCGCGATGAATTCATTAGTTGGGCTGATACAACGAACTCCACATATTGAATAACTCAACATTACCAAAAAGAACGGAGACCAACAAACTATGAAAGTCCCAACGACCAGCGCTAGTGTTTTAGCAATTTTTAATTCTCTTTGAATAAGAGTTCTTCGCTCCCGTTCAGTTCCATAWACAAATGGCATTCCTTCGGCGTTTAATTTCCTAACTTGYCTTAAAGCAACRGTGAAAATCTTTCCATAGTAATACAATATTATCATGAGCGGAATCATGAATGCTGCTAATGAGATAAACCCMGCGTAAACTCTTCCTGCCAAAGGTTGGTAGTCTTTTTTCGTTGAAACCAAGGACAATCCCGCGCAGACGACCGCGTATATCCAGCCAGCCGCGATGGATGAGTTGGCGCGCTTTGGAGTCATTTGAGCGCTGTAATGCAGTGGTGAAACTATCGCAAGATGTCTGTCAATAGCAATTACACATAGATTCATTATTGAAGCAGTGCTACAGAGAATATCAATAAACTGCCACGACAGATAAACTACCGTCAAAGAAAACCTGGCTTTTGCTACCATTTGAGAGTTTCCCAACCGAATTGTTAACCAGAATGGAATGGAAAGAGATGCTAGCATGAGATCAGCGACCGCCAGGGAAATGAGAAAATAGTTTGTGACGGTTCTCAAACGACGGAACTTTACAAACGAGGCGATTACCATACTGTTCCCAAATATGCCAAAAGCCATTATTAAAATCAGCATAACAGTGGAAAACACGGCCGAATCGTCGTTGTATGTTTTTTCGTTTGTGTTCTTAGCAGTCAGATTACCCGTCATCGCGATGAGTTTATGAATCAACTTTAACAGTAATCTCCTTTGGTTTGCGGAATCATATAACCAAATTAACACAGTACTTTTAACTCGGTGATGGTTTCCAGAGGGTTACCACGAACGCGTCCAGAAARAWCCTTCTAGTACAAGTGCTATTCAAAGTGTAGAGGCTCTCAATGGAGTATTTCAGAACTCAATTTTCACTAGCTATATGTATATTCCTTAAAGAACAATTGTATAATCCAAGCCTAATGTTCTTAAGAGCAGTCGATGACTAGCCAAATAACCACTTTGAATTACAGGTGCTTTTCGGCGTTCATGAATTATCCAGGTCACTTTGTCTCTCTTATGACGAAAGTAGTCCTTGAGAGTCTAAGTGCATAAACTAACAGCGCACAATGTGTTGGAGACGAGTATGTTCTTCAAGCGCAAACACCAATATAGTTATGATATTTGATAACTTGAGATATGAAAACAAAGCTGTCCAGTGTCTTGTGACAGGTGTTACCCAAAAATACTCACGCCAACCTGATTTCTTTTTATAGAAAAAGTATTGACACCAACCTTGCTTATCAACTGGTGGTTCTGTTGATATTATATGTTAAAAGGCTACAGCCACCGGTTCGGCTTTGATTGTTGTGTGCTGGGAAGATGTCTGTTTAGACCGGCGTTGTGTCCAACTTTTGTAAGTGGGGAGTAATCCTAGATGTGAAGAGCCTACTAAGATTACCTCGAATTTGATTAATAAGTTGTCAGTTTTAGTCCCTTACAGCCAAGCCCAAGCCCTTACGAACGAAAGATTATATCTGTGAAAATCCCAAAAGATCCTTGAGTGTTCCAAGAAGAATGTTTTGGGTCCTGTGATTTTGTCGACGCTTTTCGACAGTATTGAAGTTGTTGTGTTTAACCGTAGTATGTCCTTTTATAGTCTCAGCTTTAACTTTCCAAGACAARGGGACAAACAGGAAATTGCCAGTTCTGCAGGAAATAGAAACGAGAACTACCATTAATGAAAATCGTCACTTAGGGAAGGGTGTGTGTGTGCATTAGCAATCGGAAACAGTGTGCAAAACGTTCTTCAAAACCCTTGAAAACATCTATTAGTCGCAATATTTTTACACATAGCTAAAAAACCCCGACGACTTAAAAGATCACTTACTAGTAATAGACAACATGCTGTAGATTGAACATTTGAACTAATCAAAAATACAGCTATTTGCAATAATTCTGACCCCCTCTGCCATATTTCATATATATCAAACTGACCTTAAATATTATGGGATATCATGACTGATATATTTTTTGAGTTGCCCAGAATGAGTACTTTCTCAAAAAAATATCAGCATTGGTATCCCATAATTTCTAAGGCTACTTTGATATATATGAATATTAGTGTAGGGGGGGTCAGAATTATTGCAAACAGCTGTAACCATATTATATCATAATATCAAACTAGCTTTCTTGCATGGTTTTCATCTTCCATATTCTAATACAACTGTATGCAGCAATTATATGCAAAAAATAATGGYCTTTTTGCTCATATTTCAAGTATAATATAAAATATATCAGAAATTATGGGATATCATATTTTTTTCAGAAAGTTCTAGTGCTAGCAGGCAACTTCAAAAAAATATTGGCTATGATATCCCATAATTTCTGATATATCTTAATATATATACTTGGAACTATGAGTCACAATGATCATAATTTCTGCATATTGGTGTATTTTTCTTTGCGAACCTTTAATATATATAATATTTAGAAAAAAGAAAAAAAAAGTAGAAAACCAAGTTACAAGTTGCGTGGCTTTTTCTTCATTTATTCTATTTATAATATTTAGAAATATATATAATATTTAGAAATTGATGCCTATAGTGTAATATTTAGTTCAAACTGGCTTTCTTGCATGGTTTTCAATTCGTCCATATTCTAATAAGCAAAATTATCAATGGGAGACTTATGAGTAGAATATTTTTAACCTGTCAAACCATGCTCCAGTTTTATTTGGCAGGTGTGCTTTTATAACTTAAAACCTTTACAATCAAACGCTGCGCGCGTCTAGAATCTTCTTCAATGACTATCTCAATTATATCTTAGCATGAAATATTACCTTTAGCATTATATAGTGTTCTAAAAATCAATTTATTATGTAATGATCCATAATATTCCTATATTTCTCACATTATTTTCACTAGTGAAAAAAATCTGTTTTCTTTCATATAATTTCTTCGCATCTGGCACTGGAGTTGATTTTTTTTCATTATCATTTTTGATTTCGTCTGTAAATTTGTGCACAAACAAAAATTTTAATCTTTTCTTTCCTTGTGCTTTATTCTTCAAAATGCTCTCTTTTCAAATGCAATTTTACTCATTTCTAGGCATTTTAGCTGTATTAGAGCATGCTATTTCCTTTCTAATAGACGAGAAGTAGGCCAGACATTCAAAGAAGTGCTTTGGATCTACCGAATGTAATCAAATTTACGAGAACTTGGAACTGGCGGATCAGAGTATTTGTGACATATGAATTATATCACTTTAATTTAAAAGCTAAAACAAGTTTATTAACATGCGAAGATAATCAAGATCAACACTCGAACTCTTGAGTAACTCAACACTTAAATCGATAAGGCCGGATCAACGTTGATTTCCACATGTGCGGTATTAGATGTGTCAGTATACCAAATGCATCGAATAGCTTGGAGCAATGTGCGGCACATAAGAAGCAAGATCTCGCTAATATGCATAAAATCAAAAATTTGTTAAATTAAAAGAGTTGTTTTAGTAAACGGAAACTTTTCGTGTACGATTCTTATCATCTATATCTCAGTTCAATTAATATCACACTCAAAAACATATGATATTTTTTACTGTAAATTGGAAATCTATGGAGATGGCTTTTTGTAGAATACTAATCAAAATAAACTTTTCTTATAGGCTTTATCAAAGTTGGTGTTAATACATCATTTGAGAAATGGGGATCTCGATTTTTTATCAATTAAAACAAGCTTTATATTAAAACGTTTCGGCCATATATTAAAAGACACATTAACACTACTTTCGCTGCCCACGCTATAATAATGCATTGTAAAACGTATCAAAAATAATAAAATAGAAAGTGCTGCGGAGCTCATAGAGACGAAACTACAAGGAACCGCAAACATTTAAGTTTGATAAAAACTTACTGTACTTTACTGTACTTACAGTGTTACGAGGCCTTTGAACGAATATTAATAATCCATGTGGTCAATCTGACGCCGACGTGGATCGATATAGCGAACTAGATACAATATTACACTGCAGATAGAGTAGCCTGACTCTGGATAGTCGCTCGACTTATCACCAAGTGTACTAAGAAATAATCTACATCCCTTCACGAGAGAGCAACCGCCAATCAAAACACTTGTTATATATACTTAGCAGGTTTGAACCAATCATATCAAGCCTTTTACTGCTTTTTCAGTTGACAGCGACGCTGACCGTTTTTGATTGGCTCGA